ATATATATATATATATTGTAAATAAAGAAATGTCTTTGACTAAATTGGTACTGTGATATACCAACAGGCCTTTTTCGTCCAGTGGTAAGACAAATGATACCAATGGTTTGCATGTTCAATTTCGGATTCAGTGAACATAAGAAGTTTACCTATTACAGTGCATAAAGAAGATAACACCAGCGATACATGGTATTCCATGACAAACAGACATAGCATACAACTCAAGTCGTCTGTTAGGAATTATATGGACAACCTTAAATTTCTGGTCATTTTTTAGGGTAAACAGAACCATGAATCTTCTGAAAAAATTGAGGCCAAAAATGTGAACTCTCCATAAATTCGTCCAACATGTTGTCCAACAATATCATGGACAAGGGACATAAAGGAATGGACTGGACATGGACTGGCAGCAGCTGTGTTGGTGATGGACAGTGTTGACTAGCGTATGCAATAGTACAGTGATGACCACCGCAGCGCAGTTTGTGCCTTCGACGGACTAGGGGGAGATAACCATCGGTTACAAAATTTAACCGTACCTTTTGACTTTCACCACATTTTCAAAATGTGTTACCAACGTGAAAATCATTTATTGTACCGTTACGGAATGTAAAATTGTATGCAACTCAAAGTGCAAAAAAGAAATTCTAGTCTGAGGAAGGAGTGCTGTCCAAAAGCTCTGCCAGCTGATTATTAACTTACGTTTAAAATTTAGCTGTTGCTTATCAATTGTTTCCCACAGCATTGTTTTATTTTTAATCATATTGTCTTTATATATAGGCCTATATATATGTATGTATGTATGTATATATGTATGTATATATATATATATATATATATATAGAAATATATGAAATAGTTTATATTTTTTTATATTTACATTTCATAAAAACAAAGTATTCAATATATATCATCCACGAAATAACACATTATACTGTATACAACATTATTATTATTTTTTTTTTTGCTAATATTAAAGTTACATCCCCCAAATGATAGTTGGATGCAACGGCCCTTCCATGCCCTTCTCACTGCTGCCTCTGAATATAACGTGTCGTCTGAGTCTCTAAACTTATCGCGCTAGATAACTCTAGGCCTACATAGGCTTCTCTTTTATAATAACATATCTTAACATACCATTATAGTAACGTCTGTCAGTAAGGCAAATGATGTCCCCGTGTTGCAAATACAGGACACACCGTTCCTTGGCACACTTGCATCTGTTTGACACCCTTCCTGAGTAAACGAACTGTTGAAGACCAAAATCATGCTGCTAGATCTTTTGGGTTTTAGATCTTGATACGTAAAACATCAGATTGAAACCCAGTACTCTATTTCTGACCCACCTAACCCACCTTTAAAGTTAATTTGTAATAATGACATACTTTATACACAAGCTTACAAGATGACAGTCAAATTCACATTCTCATTGTACATTGTTCTCAATTTGCCTTTTAAAATAAAGTGCATTCGGTAATATCGTGTAGTACAGTTTGATCTGTAGGAGGTGGACCACTATTTTGGATACAACTGATTAAAATTAGTTTAAATATGTTTAAATATGATATAAGAAATACATAATGTACGATTGATAATAGTTACCGTGATATTGGGAATTTACGCCATTATATCATGATTTACATCAATATTCATGAAATGTAGTTTTATTTTCATTAATTTGTTTATTGTACGTCTCGGAAGAAAAGTTGTATGCTATAGTTAATTTTTTTTTTAAATTTCCATTGACAGGAGATAAAATATAAACGTTTGTATAAAATACGTTAGAAATAATTACTTCGTAGTTGTGTCAAGGTGCGTGCACACTGGTTTAGTAAATCCTCTAGTGAAGATGCCGTTCCTCTTCATATTAATCTATATTATAATAAATACATGATACATCTTGTAAGTTTACATAAGTAAAAATGCTTTGATCATATTTACGTACATTGTCACTATTACATTTATTATTGAGGTCATAAGTCATAACATCGGTAATGGTGCGAACGACACAGTTGCCCAATGTTCTGTTGCTGGAACAATTCTAAGATTAGGACTATAAACCATGGATCTATTAATAAACCGTAGCCCACTGTATGTTCGTGTACCCACTACTCAATTAGCATCATCATCATCGTCGTCGTCGTCGTTGTCGTCGCCATCATCATCATCATCATCATCATCATTATCATCATCATCATCATCATCGTATAATCATCATCATCATGGTCATCATTATTATTATTGCTAATTATCGGGACATATTTTATTTACCAGACGTAAGATAAGGCATGATATGTTCCTGTGTCTTTTTAAACACCAAATATTCAAGCGTCTTATGCATTGGCTTAGGACTTAACATACAATTTTGTATTACAATTGATGTTTAATAAGCTAACGCTGCAATTATTTCATAAGTACACACACCTCTTCTGGAGGAAAATGTATAGATGTGTTTCCATTGGCAACTACATCTTCACTCGCATTGTACGTCATAATAGAGATCAATTTGCTGGCAAGATAAAATGCTTCTGTGGTGTCACTATAAGAAATTAAATGGAAAACGTATTACTTAGTTCTTAGATATAGGCTGATTGTTGAACCCCGTCTTAAAGAACTTTATTGGTAAGGCATAGGCAATTATACAAAATGTTAATGAGAAATTACAGGAAACATACATTTTTTGACCTTAACACTTTGATTCATTGATTGGGATTTGTAAACATTTGTGTTTTTTCTTTATTCAATCTAGATAAGGTTAAAATTGGCCAAATCATTTCTATCCATTACAGTGCAACGGAACTACCACTAACCTTTGTACTAAGTCGGCAGTGTCGTTATAAGAGCTGTTCCACATCAACGATATACTACACGTTTCTCCTAGAGGAATACAAAGTTTTCAATATATCATCACTGTGCGTGATCGGCATGACTATGTAATATTACTTCCATTACGTCAAATCATACCCATATATAGGCAAATCACATGAGTTGTCACAAAATTTGATTATGTGTTGAAGTATAAAACACACAACGTCTCCGGTCTCCGCCAGCGCTGCGTTCTAAAAGTAGATCGTCATTAAGTCCGGTTCCCACTGAACACATCAAGTGAAAGTGTGAGCGCGCCACATTTTGACACGAAATTTGCTTGATCGCGTTCAGTGGGAACCCTACTTTAAGAACAATCTATTACACGTGCCGTGATGCCTTCTCTATGTAGTCGCACTGGCAACCACCAATGGCACCGTATGTGCCCGGCCTAAGTTATAACATTTAAGACGCTTGGTGGCGCTTCTTCAAATGTTGTAATTGGTTACAGTACTCTATTAATTGTAAAAATGTTTCTTATATATATGTGGAAATATATTAAGTCTAAATTATAAAGACTAGTTTTATAGTAGGCCTAACAAGGCATGGTTCTTAAAGCGAAGCTTAAAATAATAATAAGTTTACAGATGTTGTATATGAGTGACGACGTAATACTATTACATGAACGATTTAAGATCACAATGTCTATACAGAGACAGTAATGTTGATTGATAGAAAAGTAGGTGCATTTACCGTCAGGAGAAGAAGGCGTGACTGAATATAATATCGATGAGCTGGGATATACGGATCCATCATTATGCAAACCACGAGTCTTCGACAGTGTACCCACTGAAAGGACAAAGATTATTATTGATGCGCACTGCACCCCTGATATTTTTTTTTTATTTTTTGTTTTATTGATAATCTGTATATTTAACAAACTTACTTGAATAATTTGGTATTATATTGCTAATAATGACTTAATATCTAATAACATGTTTAACTACATTTCCGCTAGAAAATTTCCGTTCCTACTGACATTTTGTCAATAATAATTCTTTAATTGTAAAGTAATTTACAATCGATCATTAACATTAGAGCTATACCATACTTTTTTCTCTTCCTGTGCACAAAACACACTAATTAGTTGTGATGTTTAAACTTTCGTTTATGATTTACTCAAAATAACATCGGAATTTACCTGAACGTTTCGATAATTGCCGATGTTATTTTGATTTAATCACAAATGAAAGTTTAAATACCATATCTTACATCATAGTAACCAGGTGAATTTCTTCAACGGTAATTAATTATGTTTTGTAATTTGAGATACAGTTTTTTTGTGTATCTTCTTAATCTAAATCCCAAAGTAAAGCTTTAATTAAAAACATATTTAAACATCATTGAATAACTTCTCATTCGTGGACAACATACAATTTAATGTTGTCAGAGTATTTGATATTGTACTTCAACAACGTAATTTGTAAACGTTGATACCTACCCGCCTCGTCGAGATACGTAAGCGGTTGTCGCTCATCTACACTCAGAGTCTTACATTTTGGTGAAAACTCTATCCCTGCCTTTTCTGCACTTGCCACAAATTGTTGCAACAGTGAATCTAATCCTAAACGTCAAGAAAAATATGAAACCATTGAATATCTAGGAAGCGAATACAATTTTTTTTATTAACTCATTTCATTTTAGCCAACAGGCACTTTATAACCATATTTGAATATATTGCCCTCCAATTCAAGACCACCCTTGGGACTTCAGTGATGGTGCGCGAGAAGGGGGGACACACGCCCCTCCAAAAGTCATTTGCGCCCCTCCCCCTCCAAAAACAAAATCACGGTCAAGTAGCGAATTAGCGCCCCTCAACTGATATTTTAATTTCTTAACCAACTCATTAGACCTACCTGGTGTCGGAGTTACCACGCCTACAGGATATACTGAAATATAAAACAATACTTAAACAATACATCATTGCATAAAATAAGGAATATTCAATATGACATTTGTGTAACTTGGATTTTGAGATGTTTGCCTATCAATCTCATAGCTCTCGGGCATATATTGCAGAATCAATAGCAATTTGTTGCCCCGGAATATTATGACAGCCTAATGATGTTCATTATTGTCTATAGTACAGGTTTCCCTCCAATTAAAAAAAAAAAAAACACTTTCAGGACCGGGGCTCTAGTGGTCTTTAGCAGACTTGGTCACTTATTAGAAGCCCTCTAAGTAAAGACTAGCTCCAACAGTGGTCTTCTGTTTAGAGTGAAAATTGTTTTATTGCAAGTATTTTTGAAACGGATATACAGTACATTTACTGTGTCTTGTAATTGATTCTTAATATACCATACGATTTCCCGGGAGTCACAAATCACAGTGCCCTGCGCTAGTCTACCCAAATCACCAATAACTAACAACACCGTTCTACTAATTCACTATAGAGCACTGTATATACAAAACAACAATTTATATTGTGTATTATTTGTATGTATATCTATAATCATTATTATCATTATCATCATCATATATTTTTTAAACTGCATTAAAATAACTATATATATTAATGTATTTATTGAATGAAATGACATTCTTATTTGGGTAGGCCTATGCCAAAACCATGATATTATACATTATGTTGGAATGCTTTCTTGCAAGTGGCTTAGAATGGATTTCTGTATGTTGTTACTGATTCATTGAAACCATTTTCGCTGGAGCCACACATCAAGTCCTACGCTCGTCTACCCAAGTATCCATTTAATTAGAAAAATACAAACTTCAACGTCCTACTAACACTATTAATATTCAATATGGTACACTGTATACACAAAACGTCGGCTTTTGATGTACAATATTTTGATCACTGTAGTATGCAAAAACGTTGCACTAAAACCACTATATATTTTTAAAGTAGTAAAACATGTTTAGTTTGGTCTTTGATGTCTAATAATAGAATCCATATAATTAAAGACTGGCTCTCAACAAGGGTCCCAAGTTGGAACAATTCACATCCGGGAGATCTGTTTAAATGAGTTTTCTTAAGACATCTAAATATAGTTTGCTGCGCATGGTAATAACCATTATGATTGGCACAGCTGGGAGACAATTGATAATACAGTTAGTAAAAACTTGTAAAAGCATGCAAATACAGTTTGTGGGAGATGATTTATTTCGGGAGATTCTTGCTTGCTCGGGGACGTCCTTCCCGCCGATTTCTAGGGCACTAAATGTGGTCTTTAGGGAATATTTAATTGGAGGGAACAGCTAATGATGAAAGGTAGGCATTCAACCGGGGCCGCAGAAATGGGTTTTAATTGGAGGGGTCTTTAATTGGAGGGAGAACTGTAGTATTACAATATACATCGATTCATATGATATTTCTAGATAGAAAGTGTTTTAGTGTTTTTGTGGGTTTTTTAACCGAACAGGGTAAAAGTATTTAACTCGGGTTAAACCATAAACCACATAGGTTGTGATGGATTATTGTAACGTTTTTATTATTGGTACACTGTCCCTCGTGTTGAACTTGCAAAGAACACTAAGTTGTAATTCGCAATTTAGACGTGTTTATTAAATATTATTTTATCGAAAAATTTGTTGAAAATATAAATATCCAAAACTGTATACAATGTGTTACAAGTATACATGCTTAAAAAGTCAAAGCAAAAGTTTTCGTGGATCCAATATGTG